AAGTCCTCATCAGTCTGAGGCAAGAAAAGAACTTACTTGGGAGATATTCCTCACCCAAATTCACAATCGTTTGTTTATAGAAATCAGTAACTTGGGGCGCAAGTTATCTATTCTAGAATAAATCTGCTAGAATCTTCATTGCTAGCAGTGGCACGCTCATACACCAAAGAAAGCTGACTTGTTGACCAGTTAATGGTTTCCAAGGCAGTGGGGAACTTTGCCCTTCCATCTCAGGAGTAACCACAAAACGGGGTGAACACTTAGTTAATTTTCAATCTTCACTATTATTTTTTAAGCATGGTAAAGTGCCTAATTTTCATGAAAAATCAAATTGGTTTACATCTTTAATTATTTTTCAATTTTTGATAAACAATAAATATAAGAACGCGTACCATGTCTAGTAAATAACGTGAAATAAATTGTTGCTTAATCACTTAAATCTCTATAATCATTTTCTTTATTTCCTATTTAATTCTTCCTTAGATAAATTTGATTTTGCTGAAGAAAAGTGAAGAAAAGTGAGAAGATTCTGTGAGAGTTTAAACAAATGGTCTTTTTTTGAGCTTGGATCCTAGACTAGTGCGACAAATAAATAAATAAAATTATTTATCTTTTCCTTCAAGTAAAGAAAAAGTAGGGTAGGGCTCCTCTGCCGCAGTTTCCTCCTTAGACATTGAATCCATATATTTGATTGTGATTCTAGTATGAAATTATTCTTACCTATTAGGTTTTGTCTCCCTATTTGTAATTACTGACGTAACTTAGCACCAGTTCACGTCTTTCCTTTTTTGGTACTTGTAATTAGGTTGATTTGTAATTATCACAATAACACATATAATTGCAAAAGATATGGATGCGATGCGATCGACAACCTAATTGCAAAACTGGAAAGAAAAAAAAAGGGTAATGGCTAGTGAGCGTACTTTGTAATGGTAAGTTTAAAATTTTATTTTCTTTCATATCAAGAAAATCTTGTTTTCTTGCAAGTGAAGTAAACAAAATAAAAGGAATACATTCCAGGTCTTTTATAAATATAATCAAGCCTGTAACTATTTATATATGTTCTTCTCTCACTTTGAATGCACAAAAGCTATACTCTCCTGTAAACATGATAGATACGCTTCTTTTTCTAGCAGTGTTTATTGCTTCTCCAGCTGCACAAGTCATTGTTGCTCCTTTGGGATATTTTATGCGTCATCATAGAAGGCATTTATTCGACCGCCTTAATGAAGATCTATTACGTTCCAAACGTCTGAGGTAGTTTCTTCGATCTTATATGTATATATTTTTTAAACTTTTCGGGTGTTTCTTCTCACTATTCTCTTCTCAATTGTGATGTTATATTTATGTTTTTTTTTAGTACAATCAATAATCTAAACTACAAAGGAGAGGGGAGTTTCTCACACACACACACACACACACACTACGAAAGTGTCATAAGGGTTCGAACTTGAGACCACTGTTATGCAAGTCAAAGGCTTTTTTTCTCTGGACTAACCCATTGACTTCTTCATATTTATATGAATTAGTGTTTTCCCTTCTTTTTGATGTATCGGTTAACAAAAGTCATTCCTTTAATAGCAATAAAATCTTATTTGAACTACTATATCTGATATATGATTATTTTTGTGCTATCATTGATCATACAAATGCAAAGGCTTCAACTACTTTCAAAGCATAAAACCCGAGCACCTTCACAGCAGCAATCTCCCTCCTAGCAACAGACCCTTTGCAGGGATGCATAATGGCACAACAGACTCTTTGCAGCGTTCTCTTTGACCCGAGTGGAGTTAGATTTTTTCACCCTTGAGTATAATGCAGGGCAGATTTGGGGCAACTCTAGTTATTTTGGTTTTTTTTTGTTGGTAAAATTGTTGTTAGAACTATTTGAGGCGGATTTGAACGTCTATATATTATTTTGTCATGAACTATTTAGGATGGATTTGGATTTCTCTTTTTGAGGTCGATTTGGATTTTCGGTTAGTACTTACACATGATATTGTTTAATGTTTTGCTTTAATATTTGTTATTGAGTAAGGCAATACCATTTAAAACACCAAACCTGTCGACAGCCCATCACAAACCGACTAATTCTATATTTATATTCCCTTCTTTTTCTTTTTTGGTACTTGTACTTAGGTTGACATGTTTGAGTACGAATATCTTTAAGTATATATACCTAGAAAGCGACGGAGACAACACAATGAATATCGAAGAATTGCACAAGTGCAGTAAAAAGGAAATTAAATCTTTGAGTTAATTACAGTTTAAAACTCTTCTGTTCAATTTTGGTAACAAAAAATGATACGTAATGATACCAACGTGTCGTGTTTATTGTATTTGATTTTGAGATTTTTCTCAAGAAAAGTTAGTAGTGGTTTCAAATTAGATTTGTATGGTAAGGATCTACTTTGTAATGTCTTTCAATGGTTAAAACAAAAAAAAAAAAATGTGCGTGTGTTCTTTTTTAATTGAATTTCTCTTTAATTTTTTTTTTTTTTTTTTTTTTTTTTTTTTGTTATTTGCCTGCCTTTTGCTTTAGTTGAAGGAAAAGATAAATATATTTTTTTTAATTTGTCGCACGTATATATAGCTTATAAATGGGTTCATCTTGTGCTCCCTAAACCCTCACATATACTTTTGCTACTCAGATCACTTGTTTAAATCTTCTCAATTTTCTTTGTCTACCCGAAAAGAATCGACCCAACTTTAAAATGTTCCTAATCTTAATTAATGGCAAGGAAAGATATTTCAACTCTGGTGTTGGGACTGATGGGAGCCGCCTTCTTTAAGTTTATATATAACTATATCTCTACATATAGAGAAACAGTTTTGGTACTTAGAGAGATTGATGAAAAGATGGAAGAGATTCGGAATACATGGAGATCTTGGCTTGATGCTTTGAGTCTGCTGAGGAAAACCTCAAAGATTAATATTCCAATTTGAATTCCCAAGCAATTGCATTAATTATAAATTTTGCCTTGCCTTGTATGTGTTAATAGCCATCAAGAATTTGTAGCGCTTGTTTGTCGGGACATGGACGGCTTCTTCAAAGACTATGACAAACTAGTGTTCCTGCATGTGATTGATTGTGTTAATAGCGCTTGTTAAATCTAGAATGTGCTTGATTAGGCTATTCCTCAAATTAATTGATTTTAAATTTATTATTATTATTATTGAATTTAAGGGGTTGACAAAATTCATAATTGTTGGGTGGGGAAAAAAAGGGCAATGGTTATTGTGAGAGAGTATGTGTTAGATAAATGATGTAGGTAATATGTCATTAATTCACAAAATATGGGGAAACGTTTTTATTTATTTTAAATTTGTTAAAGAAAAGATAACCAATGGTATTATTGGAAGTAAAATGAGCAGTGAGAAAAGTCAAGTAAACACGATACATTTTTTTTCTGAAACATGAAGGACAACCTTTTTGAGAATTTGGAAAATTTCGAAGAAAACCACCACCACTGTATAAGTTCTTTAGCTAGACTATAATACCACAACCTTTTTTTTTCTGAGAAAAATGATACCAAAACTTAAATATGCAATTTAAATACTAAATCATATGAACTTGCTAGCACCCATAAAAATATTCCAGTTGTTCCAGCAGCGATCGAGTTTCGCATCAAACAACCATTTAATACGTTGCCTTCAAAACATTCGTAACCTTCCATACCTGCCACGTGATTAAACCAAAAAAAGAAGAACAAGCAATTAATAGAGAAACTGATAAAACGAAGCAATTAATACACAAATGAAAGGAAAATAAAACGTATATATATATATAAACTTCAAAATAGAGGATGGTGTAAAGAGTTACCACAGAAGACTAAAGCTAAAGCATAGTGAGATTTACACTATTTTCATCATATTTCTACATGTGGCCGGGTTAGCTGGGTTAGCCGTATCAATGTGATTAGATTTCAAGACTTGTACCAATGAAATGAACACAACTACCACTGCACAAAATGCCAATTAGTGAGAAATAGGAAATTAAGACCGTTAATTACTGCTTTACTTTTACTTTTTTTCTTTTTAAACGAAGATCAATATGTATTGTATAGTAGTTATTACTTGTTGTACAAAACTAGAGTTTGTTTAATATCCATATTGAGTATGATTGAGGGTTTCTTCTTCTTCCAATTTAATAAGCAAGCACTTGAAGGTGTCTTTCATACAAATTTAGAATGTTATTCATTACATATATACTAGGAAAAAATAATAATGAAAAACTTGAAGTTTAAATTAGACAACTTTATAGCAGAAAAAAAAAATCATAATATTAAGAATTAATGCTTGGGAATTCCAATTAGATTATAATTATTGAATTGAACGGTGGACTGAAACTAAAATATAATAATATATGATGAAGAGGAAACTACCTGCACTTGCTCAATTCTTCCAGATTTTGATTAAACGCTCTTCCTCTTTTTAAGTCCCCTTTACGCAGAAGCTAATCACCAATGGCGACCACAAGAAGAAACGTGCAAAGCCATGAGATGTGTTCTTTCATCATCGTCTTGGCTGTGCAAAAGCTATAGAGTTCTCGATATATGGATACAACCCAATTACAAAAAGAGTATATTATATATATGTTTGCGAAAGCTAGGGTACATTTTTTTTTAAAATTATAAATTTTTATGGTAACTTCTAAATTACTTTTCTTTGGTATCAAGAAATCTTTCTTCTTTTCTGGTAAGTAAAAAAACCTTTCATTCAGAGAATTCCCAGTGAAACTGAGAGATCAAATATTTATTTTTGTTGTTTGGACATTAATTTATTAGTAGTTAAAAAGTGTTTTAATTTGTTAGATTTTATTAACCTTTTTTATTTTTATTTTTATAATTATCATGAAACTTGTGAAGAAGTTTCAATTAATTATAATGAAGGAATATTATATAGAGGTGGCTACCCATTTGCATGACTAGATTACCCATTTGAAAGGTTGAGCGGGGGATGAATGGTTGAGAAGAGAAAAAGAACTACCATACAACAATTCACCCCAACAAACAATGCTCTATCTCCAAGGCTCTCCATGAGAGTTTACCAAGATGAAGCCTGAAAACCTCCACACTGTCCACAACATCAGTTGAACGTTTATTAGAAATAAGAAACACCAGTAGGGTCTCACCAACTGTTTCGACCAAGTACTCTCGGAAATGCCTCGAATAAATTGACGGTACTGCCCTTGTTGCACTAACAACAGTAATTTTAGGGTAAGGGTCAGTAATTGGAGGTTTGGCTCTCACTGCCGGCGTCAGCCCTTCACCGATGATTCTAGCTGACTCCCAAACCACCTCTACAAATAATAAATTTGAAATAAAAGAATGTGAAACTCTAGCTATAGTACTTAATAAACAATGTGGTACGTAGTGTTAGAAATAATTAAAATTTGCCACAAGAAATGAGATTTGGCTGGAAAATTTTGGTGGGTACAATAATTGGATTTGTTGGGGCAGCATTTGGGAGCGTGGGAGGTATTGGAGGAGGTGGCTCTTTTTGTTCCAATGCTCACCCTGATTATTGGGTTTGATCAGAGATCATCAACGGCAATATCAACATGTAACTTGTAAGTACTTTGATCACATGTTTTTATGTTTTCACCGTCTGAACAAGCCTCTTACATCTTTACTTTCAACTCAAATATTATTGATTTGATGAAATTCCACCGATTTACAGTTTCAGTCACCCCCAAGACTATCCAACTTTCTAAAACTTTAGATTCGAGTTTCATATTGTAAGAATTTCTAGCTTTCTCTGCTTGAATGTTATGCATTAGCTTTTATTGGGTGTGTTATTAATTTCCTAATGAGTTCTGGACATATTTAATGAAATTTCCATAATGCATCAGTCAATATTTTCTGTTTTGTTGTTCCAAAACTGATGCCTAAGTTTACATCCTGATAGGTTTAATTTGTTTTTGCCTTAATTATGTGTATATTATTAGTTTAAATAGGTCTTATAAGTTAGTACATTGAAAAATTATTTACCTTTTGCTTTCCATTTAAACAACTGTAGGCTATTTTGAATGTTCTGTCTGGTTGGTCAGGTATGGTCACAGGGGGAGCAGCTACAACTATCTTGTACAATTTAAGGCAAAGGCATCCGACACTCGAGTTGCCCCTCATCGACTATGGTCTTGCTCTTCTATTTCAAACAACGCTGGTGGTGGGGATTAGCATTGGAGTTCCATTGAATGTTAGGCGATGTTGCTTTTTGTTAATAAAAAGCCTACTTAATTATCATCTTCGTCCAGGTCTCCCCAAGCCAAACATGGCAATGAATCATTTTCAGAGTAATACTAATATTATTTTCGTGAATCATCAGCAGCTGCAGTTGTTGATCAACTACTTTCCAACACAACAAACCATGCCCGCAGCTTCCACATTTATGATCCACAATGGCATATTTAGCTTCACCATTCCCACAGCCATGACGTTGGTCCAGGGAGCAACATTGGATGAATGATCACTAATGCCAGTTTCCATCCATCCTCGTACAATCTGCCTCACTCTCTCCCTCTCAACTTCGCCAAGATCAGGAGATTGCTCCCTACTAGACGCGTCATTAGCGCCACGTTCATGCTGTGAAGCCATCTGATCATGTGACCAAGTTGTTGAAATATAATCCTGTTCTGCCTGATTTCTTAGGCAGAAGTCATTTTCTATTTTCTGTTCTGTCTATTTTAAATGATGTAATGAGAACCATTAGATCATAGTCTAGGTGGATTCTCTAGCTTAGATTTGGTATGACACGTGTAAGCACCTAATAGGGTGACAGTTGTAATTCTGTTAGAAGAGAATCACATTTCTCTCTCTGTCAGACACACTATGTAAGCTGCAGATTGTAAGAATTCAATAGAACAGTGCCTTCCTCATTTCTCTTCATTCTCTCTAGCTGAAATCTCCAGAAAATACATCTCTTCCTAATCGGAAAATACATATACAAACTAAGAATTCTAACACAAGTCCCTCTCTCTGAATGGATGATCACCACCTTACTGATTATTGTCCTCACAGGTAACAATTTGCTTAGGTGCAACCTTCCCCATTCACAATTGGACAACTTCCTCATGTATGATATAACTGCAGGCACAACGACAAAATCGTTCTTTAAAGCAGTGGAGAAGTGGAAGAAAGAAACTATAACTAAAAAGGTGGTCTTTGGATTTTGCTTGTTTCTAGACTAGTTGTATATTCTGGGATTGCATTACTTGATCCATCTCAATTGCACCTCGCTTTATTGCTTTCAGAATTTAATGGATGCTTCCAAACGCTTGCAACCAAATGTGAGTTGCTCAATCATTTTTCACTTTGGTATTATGTCTTTCATCTGTTTTGACGCAGATATATTTGAACTGTCAGTTGCTAGGCTAAAACGCATGCTCCTTAGTTAGGTGATGGAAATGAAGACGTTGAAGACAGAAACATTCCTAGAGGCCTAAGCAATGGCACAACAGAAACCAAGGAAGCTAAAAAAGCAAGGGTTAGAGTTTTGAAGCTAAACTTTATGCATGTTTTTTATGGACTGACTTCTCTGAACTCCCCATGTTTCACTGCTTGATAGTGTTTTGCTGGAGGCAATTTGGAGTTGTTGCTCTTGTCTGGGTTGCAATAGTTGCATTGCAAATTGCTATGGTTTGTCTAGTGAAACTTTTTTATTTGGAATTTCCATCACTTGTATTCATCAAGAAGCCAGTTGATGGGAAACTTATTTTCACTGGCACAGAAACATGTGACAAAATGTTCAGTGGCATATTGGTTACTAGATGTCTCACAGGTACCTTCCATGCTCCCTGTATCAAGAAAACAATCTTCCTTGTGCTTGAAAGTAGTGATTGTGAAATATGTACCTCAACTAAGGACTTTTTGTTCCTTCTGTCCCACATCAATCAGATTCCAGTGGCTGTTGAAGCAAGTCATATGCTGCGGTTAACAATTGCATCCAGTGGACAAGAAGGTGCAAACTGGAGAGTGCACAAGCTTGTTTTATATTCTGCCTGTGGCATAGCAGCGGAATAGTTGGCGGTTTGCTGAGTTTAGGTGGAGGATTCATTATGGGTCCACTGTTTCTGGAGATTGGGATCCTTCCTCAGGTACATTTCATACTTCAACATTTGATAAGTGATGTAGTTGAGTTTGTTTTTCTTTGGGTGCCTTGTACAATTCTAAAGTATTTGTTCTCGTCGCATTCACTTCTTATTAGTTCCATCCCTCAGAGTAAAAGCTAACAAAATATGATGATCATTATATTAACTTGTTGAGAACTTTTCTGCTGATGTCAAGTGCCACAAGCACCTTTATCATTACATTCTCTTCATCCATGTCTGTTGTAGAATTTTACCTCCTAAAAACAATTTCCAATTCTCTATGTTAAATTTCTTAGCCATTCACATTTCTGTTCATAAATTAATCACTACTTGTGCTTAGAAGGCAATTTCTGTTTTCAAATAAATGCTGGCTTCTGTCATTGTAATTGTTTTGCAGCTCTCTACTTTGCTGCTGCGACAATTCTTTTTGCCGTCATGGGGCAAAATTTTGGAGGAAAGGTGATCAAAAGCCTTAGGAAGAACATACTTGATCATCTTCATTCTGGCTTTCACAACACTTGGGAGTACAGTTTCCTTAGGTATGTGCCATTTTAACCCATGTTTTTTTTTTTTTTTTTTTTTTTTCTTTCTTTTTACTTTTATTTACCTCATGTTAAGCTCAAGATATGAATTTTCTGCTAACATATATAGTTTTTGCTTCTAAACAGGTAGAGTTGGCATAGCAAACATGGTTAAGCAAATTGAGCACAAGGAGTACATTGGGTTTGAGAGAAAGTGCAGCAAAGGATCCTAAGTCCTTAGCTCAGATTATTTGATTTTAGAAAACTATGAGATTAGAAACTGATATTAATTAGTCCAATGTTAGAACACTATAAGCTTAGAAACTGGTATAAAACACAGTCTAATGTTTTATAGCTTTTTTATAGAAAATTTATAGCCTTATTGTCGAATCCAAATCCTTTCTTTCAAATACATTCCATCCAAATGGAGCAATTTGCACAAAATAAAAAATCATTTAGTCCCTTTCCCTGGGGCGAAACGTTTGTTAATTCAGAGTAAAATTGTCCTGTAGTTTTGAGTTCCATATACGTTATATAAGAGGCAAAGGGTCCGAGCAATAAATGTGTATGGGTGAGCAGTGAATATATATGGGTGAGAGAAGTAATTAGAGAGGTTCAAAGTTGGTAGCTAATCAAGTCATACTGTCGTACGTGAATGTCTTACATCAACCATCACTCAATATCAGTCAACCGACAAAATCTTTCTTCCATTAGCATGCATACACATAATGAATCTGAAAAATATAAATTAGACTAAATCAAAGCCAATGCCAGCAGAAAGTTTCTTATTTTCGAGATCCTGCTATACGTTCTGTACATACATCTAGATACTTTCTTTTGTATCCATAGTATATATATATATATTATTATTTTTTTTTTTTTTTTTTTTTTTTTATTTTACAAGCGAGGAGGGGGGTTTCTCACACTTATACTACCAAAGTACCATGGGGGTTCAAACCTGAAATCACTAGTCTACAAGTCAAAGCCCTTTTCCACTAGGCTAAACCCCGTTGGCATATATATGTATTAGTTTTGGTTATACTGCATTGGGTTTAGGAGGAAGTTCTGAGAAAATGGCTGGTAAGATTGGAACTCTTGGAGTTGGTTTTCTGGTTTTATTAGCATTATCATCTGCAGCAGTTTCAGCACATGAAGAAATGTTGGGCTCACAACCTTCAAGCCAGAATATTACTGGGAAAGAGGTTCAATCTCACTTGGGTTATAAGCATGTGTGGCCTGTAAGTCCGATTTTCTATTACCTTCGTTGGGTTTGTTGCCTAAATGCATGTTAGGCTGCTGAGAAAATGTGCCTTGCCCAAGGATGATCTATTTGGAATGTAAAAACTGTTTTTTTGTAAATCTTCTACCTCCCTGTTATATATACCTTTTGTTCTCTCTGTTTTACCATTAAACAAACAAACAAAAACTCATATTTTTTCAATGCATTTTAGTAGGTACAACTGAATAGCAGGTTTAAATGGTGCTTCCAAATAGTTCAAACTTTGTAGTGATGATCATATACAGGATATCAGATTTGGTGGGAAAATCGCGGTGGGTACGATGATTGCATTTGTTGGAGCAGCATTTGGGAGTGTGGGAGGTGTTGGTGGGGGTGGCTTTTTCATCCCAATGCTCACCCTCATTATTGGATTTGACCAGAAATCATCAATTGCAGTCTCCAAATGTGAGAACATATATATACTTTCATATATCACAGTTTTAAATTCATCTCATTCTTGTGCTAATTTATCTTGTTCTTTTCTGTTCAAACACCTCAATTTTGCTTCTTTGTGGTCAGTCAGGTATGATCACAGGCACAGCAACAGCAACGGTCATGTATAATTTAAGGCGAAGGCATCCTACACTTGACCTGCCCATCATTGACTATGATCTCGCTCTTCTTTTCCAACCTGTGTTGGTTCTTGGGATCAGCATTGGAGTTTCTTTGAATGTGGTTCTTTCTGACTGGATGATCACCATCCTACTATTTATTGTGCTCTTAGGTAACACTTTTCTAAGCTGCAAATCTTCTTCCTTTACATCTTTTGAGAACTTCCATGAGTGGTCGTGATCTGCAGGGGTATCAACTAAGTCGTTCTTCAAGGGTGTTGAGACATGGAAAAGAGAAACTATAACTAAAAAGGCAGGCTTTAAACTTTTCTTTGTTCTTCAAGTTGATTGTATATTCCGCACTTCTAATCCATCTAATACTTCACAACTTGTTTCATTATTTTTAGAACATGTTTGATGGTTCAAAACAGTTGCAATCAAATGGTGGGTTGGCCTATAATTTCTTGATGACCTATTCAAACTCTGACATATACATATTGCAAGTCTAATTTGCTCTTGCTAATGAAGATGTTGAAGACAAATATATTCCGGGAGGCCCAAGCAATGGCACTCTAACAGAAACCAAGGAACCTGAACGAACAGCGGTAAAATTTATGAAGCTTAAACTTCTTTGATGTATGGTTCTAAGGACTGACTTAAGCAACCGTCCGTCCCAGGTTCCTGTTCTAGATAATGTTCGCTGGAAGGAACTTGGAGTAATTGTTGCTGTATGGATCATAATACTGGCATTGCAGATTGTTAAGGTTTTTATCTAGTTTCATATCATTTTGATGTTCCTTTGAAACTTTACTATTTGGAATTTCCCTTCACTTCAATGCATTAAGAAATCCAATTGATCGAAATCCAACTTGTTGACACAGAATTATGTGACAAAATGTTCACTGACATATTGGTTGGTAGAACTCTCACAGGTACCTCTGTGCTCCTTCTATCAAGAAGACAAACTTCCTTGTGGCTACAAATATGGCTTAAGTAAGAATCCCATTATAATGAGAACTTTTTTTCTTTTCTTCCTTTCTTCCTGTATCTATCAGATTCCGGTGGCTGTTGGTGTAACTTCATATCAGGCAGTAAACCTGTACAAAGGCCGGAGAGTAATTGCATCCAAGGGAGAAGAAACCACAAAGTGGCCATTGTACAAGCTTGTTTCTTATTGTGCCTGTGGCACAGCAGCTGGTATGCTTGGTGGATTGCTTGGCCTCGGTGGAGCGTTTATGTTGGGTCCAATGTTTTTGGAGATGGGAATTCCTCCTCAGGTACATTTCATACTTCAAAATTAACAATTGATGTTTGTTTTTCTTGAGTTTATCCCACAATTTTTGTATTCAATTACATAATGAAGCACACTTTTTTTTTCTTGGAAGTAAAATCAGCTTGAAAAACACATGTTCCATTAGTTACACCATAATGCGCATTTTTTTTCCTAATTTCACTTCCTTAACTCCACCACTTAAAGAGGAGAAGCTATCCATTAGAAACTATTCTCTCCTTAAGTAATTATCTGATACCTTAAGTCCTTATTTGTGATGAGAACTTTCATATAGGTGTCAAGTGCCACGGCCACCTTTGCCATGACATTCTCTTCATCCATGTCTGTTGTAGAATACTACCTCCTAAACCGTTTTCCAGTTCCCTATGGTAACTTTTTTAGCCATTCAAGTTTTCTTTGAATCAATTAGTAACTACACAAATGGATGTTTACAAGAAATTTTATCTATTAAAAGAAATGTTGGTTTCTTTCATTGTAATTCTCTTGCAGCTCTCTACTTTGCTGCTGTGACTACTGTTTCTGCAATCGCAGGGCAACATGTGGCAGGAAAGGTGATTAAGAAATTAGGAAGAGCATCTTTGATTATCTTCATTCTAGCTTTCACAGTATTTGTGAGTTCACTGATGTTAGGTATGTCTCATTCTTACATACATGCACTGTTTCCTTTTGTTCAAAGCCAATATATTTATGTTTAGATGGTGAGCGAATGCTTTTGTTTTCCTCTAAACAGGTGGGATTGGCGTAAAAAACATGATTAAAAATATTGAGCATAAAGATTCCTTGGGATTTCAGAACATCTGCACTTGAAGAACCTCGTCTTCTTAAGGGCCTTAACTAGGTTTTCCAGAAACTTCGCAATGTCGTTATCATTTTATATCCAGTCTTTGAGCCAAAGAATTTGTAAAGCAGCTTTAAGTTTTGGGGTAGAAATATTTATCACAAAGAGAATTAGTGAGATCATTGGACCATTTGTGCATATCAAGCTAACATAACATTGATTGAGATGAAAAGTATGTAAGGATTGGAGACTCACTTTATATAAAACAATCATTGGCATAGATACTGCACAACTATACTTACATTGCTTCAAATTAACAGAAAAGGGCACAAGCTATGAGAATGGGGTAGTGTAACAAGTTATAACAACAAGCGAATCGACCCCAGAAATCACATTATAAGCTTATAAATATAACCCACAGTTGAAAGAAGAGCAAAAAAAGGATATACTTTCTAGGGGTGACAAAAACTTTCACTTATACATGGCTTGAGTCCGAGAAGGAATTTCTGTGGTTCTGTCCTTAGTCCGTTCAACAGAATTCCATTCCATCCTGCAGACATATTCAACAAATGTCATTATGACTTCTTTGCCGAAAAGTTCACCAATAATTATTTCGTTTGAGAAAAATTAGTCCGAAAATGCTTTTGGTTATTGTAAAGCAAACATTATAAACCCCATTAGTCCATGGTTCACACTAATAGAGAAGAAATTGGCGATATTGAATTTGCTATATGATTTTTCATCTATCAAATAATAAATTGAGTGTGAAGCACTAGACTAGTTCTGTGGTGGATACCTAGAGCAGGATCAAATCCTCTGTTTCTGAGCTCTCTGAATTCGTGACAAACAAAAGACATGGGAGATCACATCTGTGGTGTGGAGCTTCTACCAGGTTATACCTCTGCCTCAGCTTTGTTCTATACTTTGAGCCCATAATCATCAATAAGTATATGAAGCTCCCCAGGTGGCAAGCTGCAATGACCAAGTTTTCATCAATCACAATGGTCCGGTAAACAGTGCAAATTAGCTGGGAGTTCAAGTCTTCAACTAAATTTTTTGCAGGAAGCCTAAAGTGACTTTGATGGACATGATGGAAAACAAAAGACTGTTCAACCCGTTACTCTAATGCATGACCATATGAAATAAATTTAAATCATAAAAATTGCATATACGATGAGGCCTTACGCATTTCTCCTTCATCCGATACCTCTGCGATCTGCCCAAATGTCACACAAGGTAAAAATGCTGTCAAAACAAGAATTAACATAATTAGATTGGGGTCAACCCATTTTAATGTCATCTGTAGTCTCCTTGCCATGCAATGTGTTCAAAGGTATCATTATCCCCGTAGCTAAAGACCAACATGTGTTGGGGCCCATTCTCTCTCTCATGCTCTCTCCTGTCTAGATTCTCTAGCGCTATACCGAGTGTTGTCCTTCAATGTGTTTGCCATGAGCTGGTCCTGTCTCCTTTTTTCCATCGTGCATGTATGTAACAAAAATTAGAACCCATTTGTCAAAGTAAGGAAACTCATCAGCTTTATGTATGAGGGAAGAGTGGACTTACGAACTTGAAGCTCATAAGTAGAAGATAGATTTAGTAAAGCACCTTTTTAGCTTAATACTTCAGAAACATATATGTATAGGGCATTTTGTTTTATATCACAGTATTTATTTTTCACACATAGCTAGCTTCTCATTCAGAACTTATTCATAAAAGATGTGGAGCAACGTGGTTTGACGAGGACCTCAGAGGGGTGAGTTCATGTTCGTAAAATCCCACGCTTCCTGTCGAGCACCGTGCCTTTTTTTCCTCGGGTCGTGACCATCAACGAAATAAGAAAACTATCCAAAGGTAAAAGCGTCCTCTGAATAGCAACTTATCCCAGGGCAATGCTCTTCTACCACTCCCACTGCAATCAGCTAAATTGCTAACCCCTAAACATCAACATCCTTAGGGTAGTGAGAAATCCTCTCTAGCTTGGAACTCCATCGGGTCGTCCCAAACCCGAGGGTCAGTTGTGATCTTCCCAGGTTTCACTAGCGCCATGGCCTTTTGGAACCTGGTACCCTCCTCGTCGTCTTCTCTGAACTCCCTCTGGATGAGAGTGGTCCCAGGTTGGGCATAAACGCATTCTTCTTTAATAGTTGGCCCACCAGATTATTTATATCTGATCAGTCAGCAACCTTCTTTTGCCCAACATGCGGTCAAGTTCTTCATAAACCTTTCTCAAAACTTGGCGGTTGTTCAAAAGCAAAGAGTGTCCAGTCAGGGCACCCTGGTTGTGGTCACTCCCTCCGAATCATAGCCTGCACAATCAAAACTTTGGTAATAATAAAACAAATTTTAGCACATATGACCATTGAGGTCGGTTGTGTAAATATACCAAACATGTTGCTTTGATGACGGTATCAGCATCGAAGCCAGCAATATATGCTCCATCGATGGCTGAAAGCATGACATCCATGAAATCTTGATCTTCCCCTTTAGTTCTTTTTGCTGTGCTCCTCCAACCATTCAGCAAGAATACTGTCCAGTTCTTTGGCAGTTCTCTCTCATGGCCTTCTGCTGTCCCCCAATCCAACCAAACTAAGCCAAGGAACAGCATCTCCCCAACAGAAACAAACCCAGCAATGAACTCCCCCATGGCTTTTTGCCACTGCCTTTCCTCCTTCTCCTCACTCAAATCCCCATTCATAAAGCATCTCTTTCCAGCAATCATCCTAAAAATCACATTTAGAGTCAAACCTTCAAACCACGGCTTCATCTCCACCAAAAGCTGCCCGGCCTTCTTTTCTGTTGCTCCAAGAGTGTACAGCTCTTTAAGCTCATCTCTACTTCGGATCTCTAACGTTTCTCAGTAGCTCGAGCTGCGGTTGAGACTACTCGAGGGATTCTTTGCGAATTTCACACCAGTATGGACCGTAAGGGCTAAACCGAACATGGCAAATTGTAGCTCAAGTGCTTAATCCTAGCGTAGCAGGACGGGAGGAACAGCTATACCGTTCGTGTGGCAATCCTTGGCCACCTCCCAAGTACTTATCACCAAAGCGGAGTGGATGCCAATATTGACCGTAAAGATTGGTCCATACTTGCCAACCAAGGAGCACAAGCTATGTGAGAAGCTGAATCCTCCGATAGGTCGAGATGACCTAGCTGAGCCACCCACTTCCACTTTTGGAGGTTTGGGACCCTTGGCTTTGGCACCAGAGCTTGATCTCTTTATGATAAAGTAGGAAAACACAAGTATGGCTAAGACATGGGAGATACAACTCCATTGTTGCGAAGGAAAGGTTGAGGGTAGCTAGCATTGTGCAGGGGTCCTTATATTTATGTGAAAATGAGGGTAGGACAAATGCAATAATTGAGATAGTGGAAAATAAAAAAAAAAAAAAAAAAAAAAAAAAAAAAAAAAAAAAAAAAAAAAAAAAAAAAAAAAAAAAAAAAAAAAAAAAAAAAAAAAAAAAAAAAAAAAAAAAAAAAAAAAAAAAAAAAAAAAAAAAAAAAAAAAAAAAAAAAAAAAAAAAAAAAAAAAAAAAAAAAAAAAAAAAAAAAAAAAAAAAAAAAAAAAAAAAAAAAAAAAAAAAAAAAAAAAAAAAAAAAAAAAAAAAAAAAAAAAAAAAAAAAAAAAAAAAAAAAAAAAAAAAAAAAAAAAAAAAAAAAAAAAAAAAAAAAAAAAAAAAAAAAAAAAAAAAAAAAAAAAAAAAAAAAAAAAAAAAAAAAAAAAAAAAAAAAAAAAAAAAAAAAAAAAAAAAAAAAAAAAAAAAAAAAAAAATCCCGGAACCCGAGACGAACCCTGCGGAGACCCCGGCATCACACCCACGCCGGGTTTACTCCTTAAATCTACGTCCTCGTTCACCATAGAGGATTAAGGGCACGAGACTTTCTGCCGAAAATTCGACAGAGTCTCCCCTGTAAATTGAATATTCCCCAAAAGTTCCACCTGCATAAAACTCATTTTATAACCCAACCAGCAGCACGCACAATATAATCTCATGCAATTTACATAAATGGCCTCCGGCCTTCAAATGATTCTAGCAGACTACCCACACTGTTTTCAAAATAACTTCATGCATCAACCATGCATATAACAAATTCCAAATCTCTTATGCACACCTTCACTCACTCAGTCCACCGGATAGCTTCAATTCAACAAGTTTCGGGACCAACCACGAGGTCCGCATCATACACGATAAAACCACCTAAGTGGTGTCTAAGTCGTGGCTGCACCTAGGCGCTATCCCAGGCTGCCTACGTACCCTACAAAGGATCAAGCCACACGTAGCTCTTTCCTATCAATCCTGGCTCCTGACATCAATTAAACCATTTCATCCATATAAATACATACATTCTCGGGTTTATCCATCACAACACACCAAACATAATCACATAGCTCCCCTCATACGACGGGACGCACCCGCCTCGTACGGGGTCTGTCTACACGCCGGCTAATCCAAAGACGCGTGCGACCTCTCGCTGGGCCTGGCTACATTCTCACCAGCCATCATACTGTTCTCTTTGGCCTGGCTACATTCTCACCAGCCATCATACTATCATATCACCCACTCATACGTCGGGACGCACCCGGCCACGTACGGGGCCTGTCAACACGCCGGCTAACCCAAAGACGCGTGCGACCCTCACACTGGGCCTGGCTACATTCTCACCAGCCCTTATACCATCATATCACCCACTCATACGTCGGGACGTACCCGGCCACGTACGGGGCCTGTCAACACGCCGGCTAACCCAAAGACGCGTGCGACCTCACACTGGGCCTGGCTACATTCTCACCAGCCCTTATACCATCATATCACCCACTCATACGTCGGGACGTACCCGGCCACGTACGGGGCCTGTCAACACGCCGGCTAACCCAAAGACGCGTGCGACCTCACACTGGGCCTGGCTACATTCTCACCAGCCCTTATACCATCATATCTCCCATCATACGTCGGGACGTACCCCCACGTACGCGGGCCTGTCAACACTCCGGCTAATCCAAAGACGCGTCGCGGACCTCACACTGGTTTCCTTGCTACATTCTCACCAGCCCTTATACCATCATATCACCCACTCATACGTCGGGACGTACCCGGCCACGTACGGGGCCTGTCAACACGCCGGCTAACCCAAAGACGCGTGCGACCTCACACTGGGCCTGGCTACATTCTCACCAGCCCTATACCATCATATCACCCACTCATACGTCGGGACGTACCCGGCCACGTACGGGGCCTGTCAACACGCCGGCTAACCCAAAGACGCGTGCGACCTCACACTGGGCCTGGCTACATTCTCACCAGCCCTTATACCATCATATCACCCACTCATACGTCGGGACGTACCCGGCCACGTACGGGCCTGTCACACGCCGGCTAACCCAAAGCGTGCGTACCTCATACACTGCGGGCCTGCATTACATTCATACATCCACCTTTAATTACCAATCATATCACACCACAATATCCATTTAACTCAACAACGCTCAAGACCTGTCACTAAGGTCATCCTAACCCTCAAGGAAAGGTAAGACTATCTCGGAGTCTCACGGTCAACCTAGGGTCAAACGGGCCTGCGGGGCCCACAACCTCCAAACTCCGATCCGAAAGTTCCTATAGGTTCTACAGGCTCTAGGACACATGTCCTGCAAGTTTGGTCCAGATCGGACGGTCGGATTGCTCACGATCACACAATCGGACGTTACTAAAACCCTAACCCCAGGGTTGGCATTTCTGGAGTATCCGGGACTCCGTTTTACGATCCGTCGAATCCTACACGATCCTGGTAATACCTAGATCAACATATTATATATCAGGACCATCCAACGGTCCAAACCCAGCGAAACCCGGAAAATACGCGATATGCGATATCCGTTCGGGACTCTAACGATATCCAAATTGAGATCCGAGCACACCTACGCGCTCATGACAACCTGAGGATCACATTGGGACAAAAATGCCCCTCAGCTACAGTGCCCACGCGCCGCCACACGCGCCGGCAGCGCGTGGGTGTCCAAAGCGATATCGCATCGCCGGAAAACTTCCAAATCACGGCCCAGACTCCTACCCTAGGTAAAACACCTAATTTGGAGTCACTTTTGTTCTTGGACGTACCCCCAAAAACTGACCGGAAGTGGCCGGAATCTCATCCCGAAATCCCGGCCGAACCCTAACTCGAAAATCAGATAATCTAGGCTCAAAATCGATGCAATCCTACCCAACCATCAGCTAGATCATGCAGAAGGGATGAATTTCCATACCTTGATCGCCAAAAATGGCGGCCGGACGACGGAGAACGAAGCCGGCGAAGTTTCGGTCAAACCGGAGCTTTTCTCTTCGTTTCCGGCGAAATCACGGCGGCTGGCGGCGAGGACCTGGCCGGGGTAGGAAGAGGACGGCGGCCCGGTCATTTTGGTACCGGCCACCGTCGACTTTGGTGGCCGGACGAGAGCACGGCCGGCCAAAACGTGGCCGGCCACGTGGCTGTCGCGAACCAGAGGAGAGAGAGCGACGCGCGGAGAGAGAGAGTGTGTGAGAGACGGGGGCAATTCCGTCTTTTAACCAAAAATCCCATTTCCAAATATTTACGATTATGCCACTGAGCTTCTTTGATCATATCTCTCTCGTTACAACTCCGATTCGAGCCCACTACGTGTCTACGAACTCATCTCGCCGTGCTCTACGCAACGGTACATCCGGAATTCCCAAATTCCTTCCGGGTAAGAAAATGACTAAAATACCCATCCCTCGGGTAATTTCTTAATTTCCACTCAAATAATTAAAACAGGGGATAAATTTGGAGTCGGGGTGTTACAGACTACCCCCCTTATAAAAATTTCGTCCCCGAAATTTCATACCTGCCACTCCAAAGGGTGTGGGTGCTGGGCCCGCATCTACTACTCGGGTTCCCATGCTTCATCCTCTCCACAACCAGGTTGGCAGCCAAGCCATTCGCTCTATCCAAACAAGCAGAGAAGAGAAGTCTCTTTCTTCCACTAGGAATATCCTTCATAACTGCGGTAATGCTTAATCTTCCTCTGAAAGCTAAACGCTTCCATTTGTGATTTGATTCTCTTCTAGCTCTCCCATGAAGAGAAGTCCAAACTCCTTGACTTGTTGATATCTTCTTCTTTCTCTAGAATCGATAAGCAACATTGCCAACACGATTCTTTGAGAGGAATGTCAGAAAGGATCATTTTTACCGAATTGTAATCATCATCTTCCTCTCTCTACCATGACCCATTTCTGATTCCGATGAAAGATTTCTGCTCAAACGTGCTCACTGCACACAATCGAGAATTAGCAACATGTTCAGGCAATGGAGGATCTCTAGAAGTAGATTGATCAACTCCATGTCCTCCTGCCCATAAGAACTCTACAAACTTCATCCAACACTACTACTTCTCAATTTAATTTGTCACGACCCTCCTTGGTCGGACTCACAACTCCACCATTCCCATGTAACTTGTCCATCAACTACCTCTGACAATTTCGTCTCATCTCAGCGGATTCAATACTTTCGGCTCTTCCGTTTCCTCCCATAGTGGAACATTTGGATAGACACGTTTCAAGGAACGTGCACCCTTAATCATACCTAAATCCATCCATGTCAAAGAATCCTCCGCATCAAAATGATGACGTCCCGTGACGGAACCCATCATGATCCCACAACTTAAGGATGCACACAAGGTGCGGGGTCCACAAGAAATTGAACCTAAGCTCTGATACCAAGCTGACAGGACCCGTCCCCCAAAAAAAAAAAAAAAAAAAAAAAAAAAAAAAAAAAAAAAAAAAAAAAAAAAAAAAAAAAAAAAAAAAAAAAAAAAAAAAAAAAAAAAAAAAAAAAAAAAAAAAAAAAAAAAAAAAAAAAAAAAAAAAAAAAAAAAAAAAAAAAAAAAAAAAAAAAAAAAAAAAAAAAAAAAAAAAAAAAAAAAAAAAAAAAAAAAAAAAAAAAAAAAAAAAAAAAAAAAAAAAAAAAAAAAAAAAAAAAAAAAAAAAAAAAAAAAAAAAAAAAAAAAAAAAAAAAAAAAAAAAAAAAAAAAAAAAAAAAAAAAAAAAAAAAAAAAAAAAAAAAAAAAAAAAAAAAAAAAAAAAAAAAAAAAAAAAAAAAAAAAAAAAAAAAAAAAAAAAAAAAAAAAACGCAATGTCGTTATCACATTTATATCCATCTCTTGACCAAGAATTTGTAAAGCCGCTTTAAGTTTTGGGGTAGAAATATGTAATCACAAAGAGAAATTATGAGATCATTGGACCTTTGTGCCTATCCTCTAACAGAACATTGAGTGCATGAAATTGAAGGATTGGAGACTCACTTATATCAACAATCATGTGCTAATACTGCACAACTATACTTACTTGCCTCAAATTAACATAAAAGGGCACAAGCTAATGGAGAATGGGGTCGTGTACAGTTATCACACCAAGCGAATCGCCCCCAATCACTTATAAGCTTTATATAACCCACAGTTGAAAAAGTGCAAAAAGGATATACGTTCTAGGGGTGACCAAAACTTTCCATTATACTGGCTTTGAGTCCGGACGAATTTCGGTGGTTCTGGCCTCAGTTCCGCTTCAACACAAATCCTTCCTGCCTCCGCACACACATATTCAAAAAATGTCAGGATAGATTCCTGCCCCGCAAATCCACCAATGATTATTTCCGTCTTGAGAAACATAGTCCGAAAATCGTTTGGTTATTTGCAAACATTTAACCCATGAGTTCACACACTAATAAGACGAAGGGCGCGCAGAGTCTGTGCTATATGATTTGCTCATCTAGCACAGTAATTGGAGGTGAAGCACTATCTTCTTAGCTCGCTCTGGTGATACGAGAGCGGACAAAATCCGCTGTTTCTGCGCTCTCTGAATTCCGTGACAAAACAAAAGACACATCTGTGTGTGGAGCTTCTCCATGTTACCTCTGCCGTAGCTTTGTTCGAGACTTTGAAGCCCATGATCACAATAGTACATATGAATGCCCCCAGGTGCAAGCTGCAATGCAAGTTTTCAGCACTCCATGGTCCGGTAACGTGCCAATTAGCTGGTGTTCAAGGCTTCAACCGAAATTTTATTTGCAGGAAGCCTAAATGACTTTGATGCCATGATGGAACACCAAAACTTGTTCAACAACCCGTGACTCTAATGCATGACCATATGAAATAAATTTACATCAGAAAATGCCTAACGATGATGCCTTACCATTTCTCCTTCAATACCGATACCGCGGCGATCTGCCCAAATGTCACACAAGGTAAAAGCTGTCCAAACAAGAATTAACATACTTTTGGGGTCCCTTTTTAATGTCCCTGTATGTCCTCCCTTCCCATGCAATGGTTCATAGGTCATATCCCCGTAGCTACAGACCCATTTGTTGGGGCCCCATTCCTCCTCTCTCTCTCTCTCTCCCTGTCCTATTTCTCTAGCGCTTATACCGTGGTGTCCTTCAATTTTTGTCCTGGGAAAGCGGTCCCTGTCTCCTTTTTTTCCATCGGCAGTATGTTTAAAAAAATTAGAACCCCTTTGTCATAATAGACGGACACTCCTCAAGCTTATGTATGAGTGGACGAGTTGGCTTACGAACTTGAAGCTCATAAAGTAGAAGATAGATTTAGTAAAGCCAACCCTTTTTAGCTCATCCAATTCAGACAGAGATGTATATGTGCATGTTTTTTTATATCACAGATATTTATTTTTCACACATACTAATTCTCATTCAGAACTTTTCACAGAGTGGGAGACAAGCGTGTTTGACGGGACTCAAAGAGGGGTGAAGTAGTATCTGTTCGTAATCCAACGCTTCTGTCATATCACTGGTGCATTTTCCGCGGGTCGTGACAATAAACGAATGAAGAAAACTATCAAAGTACAGCGTCATCCTGAGAGCAAAACTTATCCCGAGCATGCGCTTCTACCACCACCACGGCCATCAGCTCAATTGCTAACCCCCTAACTCAACATCCTTCTGGGTATGAGGAAGCTCTCTAGCGTATGACCCCCTCGGGTCCGTCCCAAACAACAAACCGATGGTCAGTTGGTCGATCTTTCCACAGTTTTCACTAGCAGCCATGTGCCTTTTGGAACCTGGTACCCTCCTACGTACAGTCCTTTCTCTGAACTCCTCTGGACTGAGAGTGAGTCCAGGTGGGCATAAACGGCACAATTGCGCTTCTTTAATAGTGGCCACCATATTATTTATATCTGACTCAGTCATCAACTTTCTTTTGCCAACATGGCTGGTCAACTTTCTTCATAAACCTTTCTTCAAAACTTTTCCGGTTGATTCCAAAAGCAAGAGAGTGTCCACGTCAGGGGTACCCATAGTTGTGTCACTCTCCAAATCATAGCCGGCACAATCAAAACTTTGTAATCGAATCAACACACACACTTTTATAGACATCTGACCATTGAGGTCGTTGATGTGGTCAATCTACCAATACATGTCTTTCTTACTGATGCGGTTATCCATCGAATGCCAGCATATAATGCCTCCACATCGATGGCTGGAAAGCAGCAACAATCCACTGAATCTTTGAATCTTTCCCCTTTAGTTCTTTTTCTGCTGTGCTCCTCCAACCATGCAGCAAGAATCTGTCCCGCAGTTTCTTTGGCAGCAGTTCTCTTCATGGCCTTCTGGCCTTCTGCTGTCTGCTGTCCCCCCCCCCCCCCCCCCCTCAATCCAACCAAACTAGCACTCCACCTCCAACACAACAGCAGAAAAAGAAAAACAAACCCAGCACCCATCACACACCACATGAACTCCCCCCCATGGCTTTTCCATGGGGGGGGGGGGATTATATACTGCCATCCTAGGCCTTTCCGCCTCTCTCCTCGACTCATATCCCCATTCATAGCATCTCTTTCCAGCAATCATCCTACAATAAGAGTCAAAAACCCCTACTTTTTACCTTCAAACACGGTATCTTTTTTTTTATCTTTCATCTCCACCAAAGCTGCCCGCGGCCTCTTGTCTGTTGCTCCATAAGAGTGTACAGCTCTTTAAGCTGGATCTCTACTTGCGGATGCTCTACACGTTTTCTCAGTAGCTCAGCCTGCGGTTTGAGACAGACTCGAGGGTCTGTCCTTTTGCGAATTTACACACCAGTCTGGACTCGTAAAGGGCTAAACCCAACATAGGCAAGAAGTTGTTCTCAAGGCTTACAGTCCCCTAACGTAGCAGACTGGAGGAACATGATACCGCTTCGTGGTTGAAGCAAATCCGTGGCCACCCTCCCCCAATCCTTTATCACAAGCGTAGTGGATGCCAATCTTGCCGTAAAGATTGGTCCATACATTGCCAACCAAGGAGCCAAAGCCTTTTAGAAGCACTGAGATCCTCCGAATAGGTCGGATGAACCTGCTGATCCCCCTCCCTTTTGTGGATCTTATGACCCATTGGCTTTGGCACAAAGCTTGATCATCGTATATGATAAAGTGGAAACCACAAGTATGCATACGACATGGGAGATACACTCCATTGTTGCGAAGTCAAAGTTCGGGTAGCTAGCACTTGTGAAAGGGGAATCCTTACTATTTATGCCAAATGAGGGGTAGGGTAGACGAGACACCCCTATAGATGAAGAAAAAAGAAAAAGAAGAGGAAGAAAAAGGGGGGGGGGGACAACAACATTAAGAAACAATGCCATAATTGAGATAGGCGAAAGAAGAAACAAGTTATTTGGAATGTTCTATTATCACCCATTTCTCTCGAAATTATCCATACATGAAGTAGGCGGAACTCCAACAAATTACGTCAAGAAGAGTCAATACGCACAAAATCCAAACCAATTCTAAATCAAGCACACAATTGAAAAAGAAGTGGAACCCCACGCAAAATCAAGAAAATAATGAATTAAATAAGCACAAAGATTTTCTTAATATTTTTGTATTTTTGTATTTTTTTATTATATTTTTCACTAATAAATTCACAACAAAATATCCTCCTATCAAGAGAAAACGCAAGGATCGATGACTATTAAGGATTCAAAATCACAGTCAGTCTTTTCCAGGAAGGCTAGAGAGTCATAAAATCCTTCTTAAACACTAAGAGGTCTCCTTAAAGACTTTCCTAACACTGGACGTTGAAAGTAACTCATTGAGTTACCAGAGTTAACTCCTTCCAAGAGGTCCCTATGATTTTAAATCCTACTAAAAAATAAACAACATGAATAAACACAACATCAAGCAAGAATTTAAAAGAAAGTTGGAATTTTGCACCAATCCAAGACGCATCTTTAAGTCCTTAATACACTTTCAAATAATCCTTATGAAACCTGTAAAATAAGAATGAACAAATTATTTCAAATTAGAAGAAAAGAAATACCCAAAAATCACAAAGGAAAAGAATTTTTTTATTATTTTATTATTTTTTCGGTTTGTTGCACTTCTTCAAAATCAAAGGCTCCACCAATGAAGATTAATGATAACCTGAATAAAGAAGAGATAAAATAATATACAAAAATATTAATGTAAAACATAAAGAAATGAAATTTGAATAGTTTTTTTTTATTTTTCAAATTTATCATTGGTAAGAAAAAAAAAAAAAAAAAAACCAAAACCAATTTTCCAATTTAATTTGTTTGATTCAGTCGGATTGTTTGATTTATCGGGTTTTTATGCCCACTCATCGTATTTCTCTATACACTCAAAAAGCACTTTCAAACTTTTTATTTTGCAAAAGCTATGTGCTCAAACCCAACCCAGCCCCAATGCTGACCGGTCAACAGCCTGCAAAGTCAAGCCAAGTAAACCAATAGCTTTGTTTTGATGGGTGCCCTAACAAAAGAAATTAGTAACACATAAGCATAGATTCGATATAAGCAAAAATATAAAGAAGAAACATCTCTTCCATCTTCAAATTTCTCCTAGTCTTGTGGTGTAACTTCCAAAGGAGTTGTTTCTCATGCTTAATAAACACCACACGTCTATCCTACCATAGCTGGACTTTTACCGCAGCCAAAAAATAAAGAAAAATTAAAAACATAAATCCAAAATGGGTAAGTAATTGACTCATCTTCCTACTTTGATTGGGATAACACGTTAGTTAATTGCACGCACATTTGGGGTCGTTCCTCCAAGAAAATTCGGCAAAATATATAAATTGTAGTGCTTGTCTTATCTTCCAGCCATACACACCCACCCTTGACCAAAAAAAAAAAAAAAAAAGAAATTCTCAATAGTCATTCTTCCACAGTAGGCGCAGTTTTGACGGAATTGCACCTTATGGTTGGCTTAACTTCAAAGATTGATCTCATTGGCTGCTCTAAAAATTCTAGAAAAATTCCACAATCATCTTCAAGATCTTAGCTTTCTCTCCACTGGTCTTGTACTAAAACTGCCCAAAAAGTCGTATTTCCGTGAAACCAATACTTGCTCCAGAAAGCTGAATTGAAAAATAAGTAATAGTCCTTTTTAAATCAAATTCTTCTAACAAAACTAAGTATAAATCATAATGTATAAATTATGGACTTATCATGGGCTTCGCCCAACATTATCGAATACATCAATTTTCCTAAAAATCTTCACAAACTGACCTACCTAACATCCGCTTACCAAACTGGTTAGTTAAGAGTTAAGACGACGGAATAACAACTCACTTATTCAAGATTTTTTATGAGATCTGGCACAAACAAAAGTGTATTACATAGATTTTAGTATATCGATATATGATGAACAATTGAGCGGTGGGGAGGGATTTCAACAATCCATATTTTAATTTAAGGATTAAGAAAACCTAATCTTACTTAAATACTCTATTAAAGATCTTATAGCTCTTCATTGAGGACTCCTTAAGTCTCTTTTCAGTCTTAAATTTAATGTGGCGACGGCTCGGCCAAAAACCAAACAAAGACAGTTACAAATCCATAATTTGATGGAACAATTGTATTATATTATGCCGAGAGTGAGGTCAGGTCCGCATGCATTACATTGAATTGTAAGTTTCATAGGTATAGCATCAAATGCTCAAAAATCGAAGGAAAAAAAAAAAAAAATACATAACTCTAGTAACATACAGGCCTTCCAGGATGAGCACTTGATATATAGTTCCCAAATTCTCCAGTAAGCATGATGCTACTTCGAACCGGGATTCGGGCAAGCATACAAAGATCTGAGAATCTCCACATACCTATTGTTATTTATCTCCCTGCAAATCAACATGTACATCAAGTCATATGACAAAAATAGCATCAACCAATAAGGGAACTCCCATGGAAATGACAACTTTTTTCCACAATCTGGCAGGTTTTCTTTTCGTCTGTATTGGACTTAACATCTAGCAAGTTTAACTAAACAAATTTCAGCTAAATTTACAGAGCTGATCTTAAAGCACAGGAATCGACTCAGAGGTCTTGACGGTTGACACTAATTCAAACAATTTGACACCAGATATTGTTAACCCAGACTCCTGGTAGAACTTGCCAACTTTCTGTGACCATCATCTATTTGAAATAAGAATGGGGAGTAATTTAAGATTAAACAAAACTATTCTGAAAGTCAAAATGGAGAAGGAAACGAAACGAAAAAAAATCGAAGCTACATAAACTTTACAGTTTTTTAGAAAGCCACATGTTCTTAATCTCAGAAAAGAATGAGATATTTGAGGATATGAAGGAACAACATTAATTGGAAACTCAACTCAGCGAGCATGGCAATACATTATGGGCAACAGTGAGTCTTGGGTTCCATGATTAGAAAAGAAACTTCAGCTTTGTGTAAAGAGTAATCTAGTTTTGTTGAACCTACAGAGACGAGCAAACAAAGCGAAAACTGGTCTTTAATTAGTCATTCCCAGATAAATCAAATAATAAGATATTAAGGTAACTGCACCACACAATTCTGAAAATAGGATGATTTTTTTTGGCTAAAAGATATGAAACAACAAGAATATAAGTTCAGTACATAAGTGCATAATATGATATGCAATGAAAAAAAAAGGTTTAAAAATACAGCAACAGTATTGTTCCTAAGACAATAATTCAACGCATTAAATCAAGGTAAGCTATTTGTGCCTTGTAAATAAATTTCAAGAGATTTTTTTTTAAATAAACTTCTCCCTAATTGAAAAGGTACATAGATAATATGAGTATTTTTCAATGACGCATGCATACACATATTATATGCTGTTTAGTATGTTTTTAAATTATTACCCTGTGCATACTAACATCTAATTAATTCCTCATGCCACACCATCTGTACAAGCAACCGCTAATTGTTGAGCCATGTCAGATCATAGAGGTAGCCCCAATGAGCTTATGACACTAGTTGGATTTCAAACTCTGGACTTATGATTCTTGAGGCACTTATTTAGGTCCTCTTGCTAGTTGATCAGTTGAGCTTACCCCCTGGTTAACTTAGTTGAATTAGTTTTTGATGAAAGGGTCAAAATTTGGCTGCAAATAAGCAACCAGGAACTATGTTCCTTTAGATTCAAGAGCTACCCCTCAAAATGGAATATTTTTATGATCATTTCTTAAAAATATTAGAGTATGTGATATTTGGGAAACCGTTTACAGAATTAGTATTCAGTTAATATGAAAAATAAATATAAATAAAAAGACAACTTTCAAGTTACCAGCATCTATTATGAAACTAAACTAAACAAACACCTTTTGTTCAACTTAAAAAGAAAAAATTGGTAGAGTCAACATATGCAACAAGATTGGTGTAACAAAAATAAAGAAACCTAACCAAAAATAAAAATAACAAAAATAAATACCTTCACTGAGGTGGAATAAGTGCAATTTCAATTTCTTGTAGTGACTTTCCTTTCGTTTCCACTACATTTCTCTTCACAAAAATCACAGCCAATAAACAAAACGTAGCAAAGATTGTATACAGAACTATTGGCCCGATTTGCTCCAGCAAGGGTAAAAACAATAGACCAACAAAGAAATTGATCACCTGTCGTAGGCACCAAATTTATTAGTTGGATGTCATTAAAATTAATAAATTGGAGAATGAAATCCTTCTTCGCTTAAAAAAAAAAAAAAAAAAAAAAAAAAACTGAATTTCAGTAGAATCCCTATTTTTCACATTTTTACAACATAACCTGTTCTTTTTTGAGACAGCTTCAAAATTATAAAAAATTAAGTTGGAATACCTAGAAACTCATCCTGGTCAATAAGGGTCATGAAGTTCAAAATTTTTTAACCACTAGTGATTTAATTATGACGAGAAGGAATTTTATGTCTAAAATACTAGAGCCACTGTAGATAAAATTATTGCTTTTATAGATTGAATGGTCATCGAGTAAAAAGTTTTATCGGATATCAAGTTCGTAAAAATATGTTTGGTAGACAAGTCATATGTCAACTCCCACAATCAAGAAAATAAAAGGTGAAAACAAGCGATATATGGAAGAACTATAGAAGACAATTACCCAATGGACAGCCATGCAAACCGACATTGCCTTCGCCCTGATACGCCCCGGAAGAATTTCTGACAGGAGGAGACTGGGCACTGGACCAGCTCCAAGAGAAAACATCAAGACAAACCTGCATAATCCATTTGATAATAAAGAGTGGAAATTTACAAATCAAAAAAAGCTTCTATGCATATTTGCTTTATAATTTCAGAGTCATGTAAAGATAGCATGGGGAATTGTAAATGTGCATGCACAATGATCAAATTAATAAACTGAATAGTTTATGCTGAAATTGTGTATAGCATTATTATATGATATTTCACTCAATCATGTTAAACTTTTATTATATCATGTGGAATTAGGTTTGAATCTAGAAAATAGAATGGCTTACCAACTTGCATTCATGTTTACATTTTTAATCATCCCAGTGAAAGACCGATTTCAAAGATTCCAAAACTATTCAATGTGCTGCCATAACCTGGCAGGGTTTTCTTCTTTATTTTATCTTTACATATTATAACTTAGTTTTCTGTCTTCTCTAAAACAAGGTTGAAGAGGATTGACTACTCACAGCAGCATGCCACCAACCGATAGACTCAATGCTCCAGATCCCGATGCATAAGAACTTGCTCCAGTTACTTGAAGACCCATTGCCACTGCCTAAACCAAGAAATGCATAAAACGTAATATAATGTCAGTTTTCTAGTTTATTTAATGCAAACAAAAAGGAAAAACCTAAGTAGGAGGAAATGCAATATTGGTAAGACAGATACCACAGAACAGACATAACTGACAGTTCTGATACCAATATTTCAGCTCAAAAGTTTGCATAAAATATTCAGTGTTTTTAGGAGCTTACCATTCCAGAAAAACTTCCAAGAAGAAGCACCTTTCTTCCAAGCTTATCCATCAAGATCATTGCAACAACTGACCCTAGAATAGCATAAAGAAATCAACCGAAAGATAAAAATAATAGTACAATGAATACATGAGGAAACAAATAAGCATAATCTCAAAGATGCAAAAATAAAATGCTTGAGAGTAAACCCAACCATACCTGATAGATTCGCGATCCCAACACATATGTTTGCCAGATCTGAAGGGACCCCAAAGCTTTTAAAGACAGTCGAAGAGAAATAAAATACAGCATTTATGCCTGATAGCTGTTGTAAAGCAAAAATGGTAGACCCAATGAAAACCACTGCAAAATATGAAGGCGATAAGGTAATCATGCAGAAGGAAGCACATATGTCAAATCTAAATAAATCATATATTAATGTGAATTAAAAATATACTTTTGAAATGTCGGCCATACAGTAGCTCTGAGAACTTTACTGCCTCAAGTTCATCCCCTCTGTCAGACTTTGACAATTCTGCTATTGCAAATTTAACATGTGCTGCTCCTAAGAGTTTCTCAAATTCAGCTTCAGCTTCAGTGCCTCTTCCTCTCTGAACCAAGTCAGGAAAAACTGTTAGCATAAATGTTAATAAATAGCCTTCAATGGGTCAAAAATAAAATGAAACGCATTATATCTTACTCATACCTAGTATTAGCAGGTGAACAATTATCACAGCTCTTATAATCCTTGTATAATATCACCAAAAGGCATGCATATATGGGAGAAAAAACAGGGAGAAAAAAAAAACAAGAAAGAAAGATTGAAGCCTGTTGCACCAACATATAATTTTAGCACTAACATCCAACTTTTCATATAAAAGAGAAAATGAACCTTCTCTCTACTGGAAACAATAGAGAAAGAGAAGGAAAAATAAAAGAAGGAAGTTAACTTCATATCACCTTTGAGCCAGAACTGGATTACGAAACACAATTATCAATCAGATCACTCCAGATTTATATACAAACTGGATTAGGAGATGACGTACATGATAATCAAATGAATTATACTAGACAAAAGGTACATTCATACCAAATATACATACATATATTAATTCCTTAGACAGCAGTAAATAACAAACTTTTTACTTAGTATTTACATGTCAAAATCCAATGCCCCTAAAGCTGCAGAGATCTCAACCAATTCAAGACCAACAAATAGGAAAAGTTATACTGAACTGAACACAAGACACTAACTTGACCAACTGTTTTAAAGATTGGTGATTAAGAAATGAGAGCATATAACCTTGAAAAGCCACTGAGGACTCTCTGCACAGAACTCCATGCAAACAGCAAGTACTGCAGCAGGAACAGTAGATACCCAAAAACAAACCCGCCACCTAAGCATCAATCATGTTGATAGAAAATAGTGCTCTTTAGATAACTATTGGAAAATAAATAAGATGCGTAACATAAGAAATAATAGATGAAAACTTGAAATAAAAAGTTTTCGGGAATATTGTGATCCCATGAGATTTATCTTACCAACCCACTATATCCTTGGCTGGGAGTCCAATAAAGAGAGATCCCATAAGTCCAAGACATGTCGCAATTTGTGTGAAGCTCCCAAAAGTACCCCTTACAAAAGCTGGTGAAATCTGCTCAAGTGAACAGAGCATGCTTAAATATTTAAGATCAAATGGAGACTAAGCAATTTCAATTGACAGTTGCAGAGAAAACAACAAGGATAATTTCTTATACCTCTGACACATAGATAGCAGCAACAGGTGGGCCAATGCCCATCCCAGTTCCAACAAATATCCTCCCTAAAAGCATGCCCCATAGACTTTTGGTTGTTGCACTGAAAATCACATTAAAATTGTTTAAGACTCATATACTTCAGCTACCAGAGGAGTATGTGACATGCAGCATTCCCTAATTGTGATAGATGTAAAGCAGTAAAAGAAACTTTTCTTTTGGTAAGTGATATTTTTGTTTATCTGCAAAACTTATAGCGAGAGGTATAAGGAGGAAACATGTAACTTTGGATCATGTAAAAGGACATGATTATTCTGAGTATTTTGTTTAAGGTTTAAGGTTCACAGTGGTCATAAACCTTGGTTATTTTTTTCTGGTGGTCATAAGAGTAGTTGAAGCAAGGAAGCTATGGTTTTGTTTATCTGGACACCTTTGAGTGCAAGGTATAAGAAGGAAAAGCATGAAAAAGTTGGATCACGGAAAAGGTGGTCATGAGTAATTCATGATTTCATTCTCAGTAATTTGTTTAGGGGTTTTCGGGTGGTCACAAACCCTAATGATTTGATTTTGGTGGACATAAGTAAATTCCCTCCCTAGCGGCATAAATCCAAATTGGTTATATGACACTTGATCCTTTGATTAGTCGCTGTTCTATTTCCTTTCCCCACAATTCCACAGTGTGACGAATCCATTTAAGTTCTTTATATTTCCCATTTGGGAAAGGCACATTATACATGCCTGCAATTTTCATAACAAATTACCTCATTGATGCACCGATTATCATCGGCAATGCACACAGCTGGAATGCCCTTCGATGCCCAACTCCATCTAGAATCCATCCACTAAATATAGATCCAAAAAAAGCAGCCCCTAAACAGGTACTCACTACTAGACCTTCATTGAGATAGAAGATATGAGATCAAATTATGAAATCCATTTAGCTATGAGAAGAGCCAATAACACTAATTACCCTTAGCCAAGGGATTCCCACTGAAACCAAGGTCCATAGAAATGCTATCTAGTGTCTCATTAACCACTCTGCATTAGCAAAAACAACAAAGAGTATGCTATATAAGGTAGCAAAACATATAAATAAGAAAAACAGAAAAGGAAATCTGAGTTTCAGGATTAGGGACGAACCCAAGATGGTAGCCAAATAAGAATGAAGAAAGAGTTGCCACAAGCATATGCGGCAAAGAGCGTCTCCATGAAGGGTTTCCAATACCTTTTGCATTTACTAGACCTACTAAAACCCATACAAGGAATCAGCCCCAAGTGAGTACCATTTATGGTAGTATGTTTGCACTTCAAACCAAATTATCAAACACTAAAGAAACTTCTAAATAGTAATATACAACCAATACAGGAACTTCCAATCCCAAAGTAAATAGAGAAAACGCTAAAGCAGTGTAATACCCCAGATATAGGAAAACTAAAATATAAAATTAGTAAGAGAGCAATCCAGATGTACCTGAACCTTCTTCTCTATCATAAGCATTGATATGGTCCTTCGACGCCACACGCTTGTATGCTGAGTAGGCATCGAGATGACGACCCCGCATAGCAAAATTGTAGAAACCTTGTCTAAAGTCTGACAGATAATGTTCTGCAGCCGACTGCAAAGACCAGCCAACACTGACCAATTAATTTCTAACCAGTTCAGTATTTTTCTTTTTTCTTCATTTGTAATTCGATCCATTCCGAACTTCTGTACTATTTATTTTCATTTTACTAACCAATCTAGAACACCAAAAGCGGCATTGCCAGATTAACACAAAAATCACAGTATAGACTTCAGTCATAGAACATTTTTTATATCAGATCCAGTAAATCGTCGAACAAGATTTCAACAACACAAATACAAACAAACGTGTATAGGCATGCACATCATATATGTATATTTTTTAGCGAAAAGTTTGGAAATTGGACGGAAATGTGAGAACGGGATCAAATGCAGAGAGATCATTTGCCTTAGAGGAAAATTGTGCTTCAAATGAAAAACGGCGCAGTCTTATACGGCCAGCAATGGGAAAACTTCTTCAAATAAATTAAAATAATAAACAGTACAGATAGAGAATTTTCAGCTTGACTCGGCAGACAGAATCTTAAAAAAAACAAACACTTATTCCTGATTCTGCTGAATCCAACTCTAACTATAAAAAAAAAGTTGCAAATATACATGTACACATGCATTTACATAGGAGAGAGAGAGAGAGAGAAATTGAGTACCTGTGTAAAATGCAGAGGCTGAAAACGATCTGATACAATTCAATAGAGAGAGAGATCGAAGAAGATGGAGGAGACGGAGGCTAAAATGCGCCGGGGGTGGTGAGATGAAAAGCTGATTCACTGTGTGTTATGCGTCAGTGTCAGCTGTGTGACTGAAGACAAGGAAATCTAAGCGAGCATTTCGAAACCGTCCCCTGTATATTCGGGGAGAGAGAAGAGAGAAGGGACACTGGGGCTCATGCTAACGTGCGCCAGGGGGCGTACTATATGCTTTTGTTTAATTATTTTTCCACATGCACATGGATTTTCCACTTGTTTAGTGATTACGCAAAGTGAAGCAGCCGCTTCTACAGTCTCTACTACGGCACGGCACACAACAAACTTAAAAAAAGAAAAAGAAAAAACCAGAATGAGCTCTCTGAGACCAACACGTGTGCGCAACGCAACGCAATTGTTGCGGGAAATATGGATCTTGTGTTTTGAAGGTCTCAGAGACAAATCTAGTTCCTCCAATGCCGTGTTGCCACTTCCCACAAAACAGCTAATTATTCTTCTTCTTTTTTATCAAAATATGCTAACATACAATATGGTAAATATATTTGTCACACTTTGGTACTCCATATTTGTCAGAGGTGGTAATGTATGTTGCTCAATTAATATTGATAACTCATGTTTCATTTGTCTAAATATAAACATACTACAAAACCGCTTTAAATTTTAACGAGTAAGTTGCTAATACAATTGGACAGATATACTATCTCGGACAACTAATTTAATTCACATCTCAAATAGTTATGGAGTTAATTGGGTAAAATTTCTATTTTGTTTCATTTGGTGCTATATCTCTGTCTAAATGTTGATTGATGTAGTTTGACAAACCTGGCGTCATCATTGAAATTGGTTTCATTTTTTTTACTCATTCTATGGTTGGTGAAGTTGCCTATTAATATTATTGTTATAATTTTTATTATTTTTTATGAAATTAAATGGATCTGGTCGTGGACCCGTTGTTGGCATTTCACAATCAAAACGTAGCATATGGAATGGAATGGTGCACAAATAACAAACACATGACTCATGAATTCTGACGTGTGACTTGTGACTTGTAAGTAACACGTGTTTCACCGTGATGAAGCAAATAATGATAGGATTTAATGGTGTGTTTTTTTTGGTTACAAGGATTTAATGGTGTTTAGCCAACATTAAAACAGACATGATTATTTACCCCACAAGAAAAAAAACAAACGAAGACATGGTAGAGATAGATAACGTAGCATTCTTATTGACACATACCCACCATTCTCCCCTTCTTTTTTGATAAATCAAAAAGAACAATTCTTATTTTACCCTCACTTTACTCTCCATTTCTTTTCTTTTCAACTTTTTATTTTTTTAATATATAAACAATAGTCTAAATGACTCTAAATTAATTTAATCTACGAGGAGAGAAACTCAAACTTGAATGTATGAATCATACTCACTGCTGGCCAATTGGCGCAACTCACATCTTCCTTCTCAAGTTAAAATAAGTATTATCAAATATTGAAACAAGAAAAAGAGTAAACATTTAGGGCTTGTTTGGTATTCTACTCAAAATTCATTATTATTATTATTATTATTAAACATGAGTTTTTAAATATTGATTTTAGGATCTAAAAATTTATTTGGTAGAGAGAGAGAGAGAGATTATAAAATCTCACCTTTTTTTGTTTTCAATAATGGAGTGTTTTTGAGTTTATTATGAATTCAGGTTTTTAACAATGAACCTTTTGTAGCATGACCTTAAAATCTATTTTTGAGTTTATAATATTGGATCCAAGAAGGATGCGAAATGAGCTCTTTGTAGGTGAGTTTTAGCACCCTCCTCAAATTCCCTGCACCAAACATGGCCCAACTTGAGTACTCAAATAAAACCGCGGGAACATTTTCCCCAGACCCAAATTCACACGAAAATGGGCTTCTAGTCTCAGTAAATATGTGACCTTCACTGTTTCGATTTGAATTTTTTCTCTCCGGCCAGAACGATTTGAATTTTTTAAGCAAGGTGAACCATAGGAAATAAAATTACTAGAAAATTAGAAATGATTCTTAGAGAAAAAGGATTTTTTTTTAAAAATGAATTCATTTCATTAATAAAGTAAATCAAATAAAACAAAACTTGAAACCTTATAACCTGGAAAAAAAAAATAAAATTGTGACAGCAGGATTCATGCTATACAACAATCTCCCCGAATTACATACATGTTTAACAAGGGCGGGCATATAATATATCCTTTCAATAGTTGCTACCCAAACTCTTAGGCCAAGAAAAACTTTGGGAGACCCAGAATCCAAACATAAATCTTCAACAAGCAATTGCCATCAGTATGTATACAATATGAGATATAAATTTAGTTATATACCATGAACTTCATGAATTCGAAGACGAGTACTATAAAGTATGGTTAGGCTCCAACTGATGAACTCATTATCTGGATCTGTAGATATACATGCAAAGATATAATTGTATGACATTTGAAGGGGAAAGTCATGAGCTTTTAGGGAAAAAAATTACTCAGGCTTTTCTAGGCAAAATTTTACCTTGTTCACAAGCAAGTTTACTTGCTCTCTGTACATCTCCTTCAAGTCTACAATATCCGCACGAAGTTCCTCCAGCTAGACAGACACATGGAGAGCCACTTTGAAATCAGGATTTGACATAAAATGGCGATTTTTGTGCATTCCAAATAGAGTAGATAAATAGAACAAATTGGAAAATGACAAATAAGGGAAATTATTCACTTTGGATCAACTAGTCATACATGTTAACAGAACTTGGTTCAAGTCGACTAATATTAAGTATTTTAAACTCGAAAAGTGATGATGGTTTCTCCAGACAAAGAAAATAGCATGGCAAACAAATATGAAGGCAGATTAGATAAATCCTCCGCCTGTCGAAAGTTTGCCTATGCAGGCTGTCTGATTTTTACGGATAAATTAAAATTCTATACAGAAAAAGTCACTCTCTCTCTCTCTCTCTCTCTCTCTTATAATTTCAATACACACGCCTCATGTACACAACATTCATAGATCAATGATTAACTATCATATCAAAAGAATTCCAACTGGAAACTTAAATGTACCTCCTCATCACGTTCGCCCATTAGCTCCAGTGCAGCAGAGTGCCGCCTCCTTAGTGCATCTAGCTCTGCTCGTATGCTAGGTAACATGCCAGCCTCTGCCCGTAACTTTTCACACTGTAGCAATGTAATCAATTTCAAGCTCAATTATAAACAAGATACCTACACAAAAGTATTATTACAGATTGAAACTCAACCTGTTCTGTCATTTTGACTAACTCCTCAGCAAGAGAATCGCGAATAGATTCCATGGATGCCTGAGTAACATTGATGAAAAACGTCTCAGGTAAAACACAGCAATAAATATTGTAAGGGACTCAAAAGTCCATGATAGATCCTTTAGTTTTTAATTTTTGAAAACATAACGCTTTACTTTCAAGTTTCAACAATAGCAGCTCTAAGTAGAGCTCAAATAGGGAATACTTAATACCATAGCAAACACTAAAAGTAATGTAGAATTAAATTTTTGTAAATGAGGAGCTCAGAAAGTAATTCATACCAAACGAGACATGTAAGATGCAAGTTCACCCTCCTTCTGGCGAAGGGAAGCTTCAAAAGCACTAGGTGTCATGCTCTTCATATAGTAAGGGCTCATGGTTGCCTCCCCAGCATTTCTCCTCTCAGAAAAACTATTGGATGAGTCCAAAGATGCTTGCAGAAAATAGCTTTCCTCCATGCTCCCCAGGCTGCTAGCACTTGAAAGTTTTCGGCTCAAGCTTCCTGTTAAAAGTTACAAAATGTATAGCATATACGACAGACAATCAAAACAGATGTAACATAAACCAAAGTATCATACCATTCTCCAAAGCTGAATTGTGCCTTGTTATAGCACTTTGATCAGATACAGTAGTAGAATGCGCACGAGATGTCCTTTCCAAATCCAACCTAGCAGCTTTCTCCTTTTCTACCTCCTGTCAAAATCAAAAACTCAATTCAGGAAAGCTAATGATCACTAATGTTGTATATTTTCAATAAGGAATTCAATTTTGGATATGCTCAGAGAAGTTTTCTATCAACTGTTTCGTCCTTTTCAATTGCCTTACTCCTTACTTCAGATCTTCAAATCAACTCTTGCTAATACAAATATTAAAGGAAAAGGTAACTTCACTTAACAACCCGACAAATAAATAGGAGGTGAGAGCCCAGGTTTCGGGGAATTAAAATATAGTAGACTGACACTGATAAATTTAAATAAAAATTTATGAAGGAACCCA